GTGTGTGTGTGTGTGTGTTGCCTGCCTGCACCTGGCCCTCAACTAACAAACTCCTCCAAACCGCACAGTATAGACCACAAAGCCCCGGGGTATTTACTGAGAAAGTACGATACTGACACACATGAACACACACACACACATACACACACACGCACTCACTTCGACAAATACATAGAGCAGCAAATGGAGTAAAAAGATATCCACAACATTTTTATTGTGTTTTGTCACAAGCATTGGAATACATTTTTTACACAGCTGTACTTGTGTATACAAAAATGTCCCTTTTTTTCCTTTGAAAAAGTGGGTTTTGTTTAACAGCTCTATCTCAGTCTCTCTTTCTCTTTCACTCACCCACACATACATCTCCACAGACCCTCAAGTTTTACTTCTTTCTTTTTTGTACAGCTTTACAGTGCAAGGGTCACTCTTTTTTCTACAGGCCATCTGTCTACCTCCTTCATCTTCCTGCATTGCTACTAAACACTTTACGTACTGTACATAAATATTAAGAAATCCCTGAAATGCTCAGTATAATGTTAACTGTAGGTGGAAACTTTCCTTCATTTCCCAAAATGCCTTGCTGCAACCCTACAAGATTTGACCTTGCTTCTTTCTTTAAGTCTGAGACTGGTTGTATGGTCTCACACCTGCATCTCAGTTTATACACAGATACCATTCCTGTTGGTGAATTGGATTTTGCCTCGTCTGCATTGATTTGACACTCATTGTTGGAATGAATTCATGACTGCACAGAGTGGACATTGCTTTTTTAATGTGTGATGCCAAAAATCTGTTGCTGTTGTTGACGGGCCCAACTTGCTCCTAAAGATCGCTGGCGCTGCACTAAAAGTGTAAGAGTGATGTCGTGTTGCTTCTGTTGAGCCAATCAGCCACAAGAACGCGGAAATAAATGTAGTGCAGGACTGCAACTAATAATTATTAACATTGTTCTTAAATCTGTCAGCAGTTTTGTAGACTAACAAGTTGTAATTGCCAGTGGGGATATCTCTAGATTAGTTGTGTTTGTATGATTGAAGATTTGTGGCGATTTCAAAGAGAATGCAGGCAAATTTGCACATTTGACAAACTGGTGAATTAATAGCGTTTGCAGCTGATAAACAGCTTTTAATGATTAGCCAGTTATCACAGTTGCAGATTCACTTTCTATCAGCTTCACCAAATGCAGTGTTCAAACTCATCAGGGTTTCCCAAAAGAGATTTTTGACAAGTAGGGGGAAAAAGATTTCTATTTCCTGACCAACATCACAGGAAAGTCAAAGACATTGCATGAGGTTTGAGGACACAGAGGAGGAAAGGAGTGGTGAAAAGGAAGACAGAGAGGGAGGAGGAGGAGAACATGATGAAGGCGGGATGGATGGATGGAGAGCAGTCATGAAAAGGCCAGAGTGCAGGTTTAGTGACCTGCTCTCTGTATACTGGCTGCATTAATGCA